TTTCAGCTTTTAATGCATTTATAATAAAAACAAGTCATAGGATCTCTAGAGAATGTATAGGACAGATTCCTAATAACATAAACATGCTGAAAAACAGCAGCTCCATGGTGACATCATAGCATGACCTAAATGGCAGCACTTACAATAAATAAATGAGTGTTTATTATAGTATCAGGCTATTAGGAGTATTAGACACACTTCCTGAATAAATCTATAGCATTTATCAATCTTATTTAATAATTGGGCCAAAACTGACCTCAACTCACAACTCAGGTAAACATTTTTATCAGAGTATTTTGAAATTAAATATAGGTGTTGTACAATACAAAACAATGTTATAAATAACATATATTTGGTACTTTTTTGTACTGAAAAACGGAAAGCAAAGCCATAGGAAGGTTAATCATGTTAAGAGTTACCAGGTGGCTGGTGCTGATTTAGATGGACCCACAGTCTCAAGTTACTGCACCTTCTAACAGGTTTTATCAAGTACTGACCTGTATTTAGCTCCAGAAATCCTGCTGTAAAAGCTGATCAGCACCTCCGTATCATGATGCTACCACCACCATGTTTCATTGCATGGGGTTGGTGTTAGTTTTCCGCAACTTTTTGGTTCTTATAAATGCTTGCTGTTTTTCTTCATAGCTAGGGGCTCATTACCAAAGGAAATTACATTTGAAGTGAACAGTGATACTATCCAAAGATTCCTATCTAAGCTGTGAATCTCTGCAGCTTCTAGAGCTTCATCTTGGCTTCCTGTTTAAATTAACACTCTAGAGGATGCTGTTCATTTATTTATATTGTACTAAACTCTATTTATACAGAGATTGGGTTACAGACATTTGGGCTTTAATTAGCCCTTTTACCAAATGTTGGTTGCATTGGATTTTATTTTAGGCTACAAAAAAAATGTTTTCTCCAACTTTGGTTCTTTATGCAACTCTTTGTTTGTCCACAACATAAAATTCCATTAAGAAATGGGGACAAGTTTAATGGAACTTAATAATTTTGCAAAGCACCTCACTTTGGATTAGGAATAGCAAAAATATGAGCGTATTTAATAAAATAAAAGGAGTTGGAACAATTTATTTAGGTGAGCAGGATCTTTCATTTTTCCCTCTAGTAACATGCTTTTGGGTGTCTTCAGGAGATTCAACATATAATATACTATGCTATTTCATGATTATAATGAAAGGCCTGCTATTTTCTGAACTGCCCTTGATAAGAGACCCATAATCCCATAAAACGTTCACCACCACCCTGTTGGTTGAGCTACACCCATACACACAGAAACAGTAAACACCCCAACAGAGCACAGAGAGAATATAAATTATGCTAAAAGTAATTTAGATGTCAACAGTTGGGTGTCTCTAAGCCCCTGTCAACAGGCTGCTGTGTTGCTTCAGTCAGTTTTAAGAATGAGGACTTTTTTTCAAACTGAGCTACTACAACCATGAAATTGCATTTATTACAGCACTATTGAGAGCAGCACTGAGGGAAAATGCTTTCTCCAGTCTAAAGGGGTCTTTTGCAGGAGGATCCTCCAGGGCTTTATGAATAACTCAGATCTTGATGACTTACCTTGTGACATAGCAGCTTGCCAGGTGCTGCATAGAAACTCAGGAATAATTTAGTGCACTTGCCGACTCTACAAGATGAAGTGCGAAAATGAATGGGAAGAAACCCACTAAAGAGCAATCTCAAGAGAATTTTACCTTTTGATTTGTAAAAGACTCTTTGCAGAAGTACAATGCTAGTGCCTTGCAAAAAGTATTCAATTACATTTATGCCATTTCAAATATCGTCATGCCCAGATGTGAGCAAAAATACAGCAACAAACTGGATTCAATCTGGTTCAGCAGAGTCCAGCTAATGACCCATTTAGTATAGAGCAATACAAGGTGAACTATAAGTCTCTTACAAAGACAAATACGTTTTTTTGTATTGCACAATTCAGTACAAAGACGATTAAAAGTACTTTGTATGATTTAAACAGTAAGATAGAAGCAAAATAAAGAATAAATGCAAGTATCGACAAAAACGTGATAAAAGCAGGTAGTAAAACAAATCATAAACTTAAACTAACAATACATCAGTAAACAGTTTAACTTTATTAACAGTCAAATGCAGCTATAAAAAAAATGTTTTTTAACTTTGTCTTAAAAGTACTCAGGCTTTCAGCACTTTTGTTGTGGAGCATAGGAACTAAATGCTGCGTCTCCATGTTTGGTTCTAGTTCTGGTTGAACAGAGTAGGCTGGAACTTGAAGACCAGTGGAAGGACTTCAGAACCAGGCTGATGTGTTCTACTTTCTTAGTTCTAGTGAGAACATGGGCAGCAGCGTTTTGGATCAGCTGTAGCTGTCTGATGGACTTTTTAGGCAAAACTATAAAGATACTGTTGGAGTGATCAAGTCTACTAAAGGAAAATAAATGGGTTTTTATAGGTCCTGCTTCGACATCAGTCCTTTAATCGTGGACATGTTTTTCAGGTGACAAAAGGCTAACTCAGTAACTTCCTTTATGTGTATCTGAAGGTTCAGGTCTGAGTCCAGCATGACACCAAGATATTGGCCATAATCAGTGACCCTAGCTGTAGTAGCTAAAGCTGGGTGCTACTCTTGATATCTCCAGCTTTGATCTGAAAGTTATTATCTCAGCTTTGTTTTCAATTGGTTGAAGAAAATTATGACACATCCACTAGTGATCTGTTCTAAGCATCTAACCAACGCTCTTATGGGTTCCTATCTACCTGGTGACATTGTGATGAAAAGCTGCATTTACAAAAATCTTAAATTGCACATATTTGGTTATATCTGAAGAATGTTGCTTTCTTTGATTTTATCCAAAATTTAAAATTATTAATTATGTTTTCCAGAGTTTAATCATTTTTTCTTGCTAAATTTATTTTGTACTATCTATACAGAAAGCCCATATTCTTATCTTCAGCT